AATCATAAGATGTTGTCTTTAAAGAAAAAATATTGTCAAGATCTGTTAAACAACCAAGGAACATTTACTACTGTGGTGCAAACCACTTTTGGCTTAAGTCATTTGTGCTTAAAAAAGTAATCAGCCTTATCAAATAGCTGCAGTGTTTTCAAAAGGTGATTACACAACAGCTCTGTGGTGATTGCAATGTTTTTCATATGTTTTTCTTTGACTCTGAGTTCAGATTAAGTTCATGCACTGTGTGAAACAAGCTGTTTTATCTTTCTTTCCTATCTTTTTAGACCATCTTCCTTTTGATTAGTTGCTCCTCAACAACAGAAGGTATAAACAGTTGGTGGGTGCCTGAGGTGACCACATTAGGGATATCCCCTCCCAGTGATATCAAATAATGAGCACAGTAGATAGAACTGTCTGAAACCAAGCTATTGACTCACAGAATAATTTTCACACACCATTAAAAACTTTGTGTTCAAATATGAGCAGCTACCACTGTGGCAGCGAGCATGACCGAAAATGAAAGCATAGTCGGTCCACTTTAATAGTAAACACTAGTTTTTAGTCAGGAAATGAGTCACCCAAACAAAGAAGTATGCATAGTTTTATCAATACTTTTGAAATGTAACTGTGTCCATTGTATTCCTGCTTGACAGTTTGTATTTTATTTTAGTTTGAACAAATGATTTTTTAAGAAATTTTGAGTTGTCTGGTGTATATTTATATGGGGCAGGATTATTCCAAAGTGTCGTATCTGTAGACACCCTGTGTTGTACTTTTATTTGAGAGTAGTGCTGACTTAACTTCAGCTTTTGTAATAATTTTAGCTCAGCCATCAATATACTGATCTCATGGCAAAATTGAGTGACGTCACTCAAAGACGCACAAAATCATTTGCATTTAATATGGGGGACAGAAACAAAGACATTGGACTTCAGCTAACTGCTTTACATGCCCTTCTATCATGTAAAAATCTTTTTTTTGTTAAATGTATGGGGTACATAAATCTTCTGTATGTACATTACAAAATGTATTTTCAGTCAGGTCTGCACAACTTGGAGTGTCCAGCCAAGTCTAGCCTTCCAGGATTTTAGACATGTGGGCATGGCCCGACTGTTTGTCAAATTTCATTAACCAAGTCTACTCTTTAATTATTGTTTAATAATCCATCAGAAAGAAATTTTGCCGTTGCCAGCTGCAGGGAAGCTCTTCTATAGCTGAGCCTACAGTATCTACAAAAGTATAAAGCTATAGGTCAGGTGGGAATACAAGAGCTTCAGCAGCACACTCGGCATCGTCCTCTTCGTCTTCCTCTGGAATATTCTCTGGCTCCCATGTAAAGATATCTGACGCATTGTCAGTGAATGAGCCAGATGTGCTCCTTAACATCTCCCAAGGGCACAGAGCATCTCGCCTGCCCAGGGCTAAGTTTGCCTTAGACTCATCTGTTTGCTCAGGGCTTGTGTCTGCTGGAGTTCCTTCGACACTAAGGCAGCTCTGACTTTCTATGACATCCTTGTCACTGTTGGGAATATCATTTTTGTCTTCACCTGCTCCAGTGATACTTTTCTTTTGGACGGTTTCATCAGTTTCCCACGGACAAACATTTGCCAGAGCACTATCTTGTTTTTGGAGAATTTTTGGTTCTTCTGTTTCCCATGGACAAACATTTTCTTTAGTGCTATCGTTCTTTTTGGCAGCCTTTGGTTCTTCTGTCTCCCATGGACAAACATCTGTCCGAGTGCTATCTTGTTTTTGGAGAATGTTTGGTTCTTCTGTCTCCCATGGACAGACATCTGTCCGAGTGCTATCTTGTTTTTTCAGAACTTTTGGTTCTTCAGTCTCCCACGGACAAACATTTGCCAGAGCACTATCTTGTATTTGGAGAATGTTTGGTTCTTCAGTCTCCCATGGACAAACATCTGTCTGAGTGCTATCTTGTTTTTTAAGAACTTCTGGTTGTTCAGTCTCCCACGGACAAACATTTTCTTTAATGCTATCGTTCTTTTTGGCAGCCATAGTGTCTTCAGTCTCCCATGGACAAACATCTGCTTTTGTGCTGTCTTGCTTTTTCAGAACTTTGGGGGTTTCTGTTTTCAGTGGACAAACATTTTCCTGGGAAATGCCCTTCCTTTGTAGTTTTTCAGATGCGTTTGATACTTCAGTTTTAACTGTCCCTGCTTCACCTGTTTCCCATGGACAAACATTTGCTCGAGCGGTGCTCTCTGATATTTTGGGGATCTCTGGCTTTCCTGATTCGGGTTCCTCTATTTCCCATGGACAAACCTCTGCTGGCTTTTTAAGTTCTTGAGACATTGTTTTGGTCGCTGCAGTTTTTTCAGGTAGTGCTGTTTCCCAGGGGCATACATTAACTCTTGTGCTGTCTTTTCGATCAGTATGTTCTGAAGTAGCTTTCAAAAGTGAGGTATCTATTTCTAAATCTTCTGGATTGTCTTGTTCACTTTCCCAGGGACAAATATGTACCTTTATTGTCATTTGTGGAGTTGATTCTGTAATTGTCTGCTCCGTGTTACTGCCTTCCCATGGGCAAATATTTTCCTTGATTGTCGGGGGATCAGGGAAATCCCATGGAGAACTTGCTGCTGCTTTGTTTATGTGTTTACCCCAGTTTGAGGCAGGTGATATTGCATGGTAATGTTGCTCATTACTTGATGCACCAGGATAGATTGCAGCTTTCATGACCTCTCGCTGAAGGGGCACTGTCAGTGTTCCCCTGTTTTCTAAAGGATTTAAATTTTCGTATACACCTTCAACCTTGTCCTGCATATCCCACGGACAAACATTAGCGTATTCATTAGTTTGTATTCCTGAAGGCTGGGGAGACTCTGAAGTCTCCCAGGGACATGTGTTTAATATGCCTTTTAAAGGCTGCTGTGCCTGTAAATCTTTAGAAAGGATAGTGTGAGAAACAACTGGAATATCCTGAGATTCCAAAGGACCCACTTCTCCATGACCACTTCCTCGTCTTCTCATGTTCGCTTGCTCTTGAGATTCCCAAGGACATACGTTAGATCGTTCAGATACCTGTGATTCCCAAGGGCAGACATCTGCTTTGATGCTCTGCTGCTTCTTTGGTCCCTCTCCACTAGCGATATCCCATGAACATACATCTGTATGAGGAACATTACGGGTTGGAGTAATTCGATAACTACCTCTTCTGTGAGTTGAAGGGGTTCTGGAGCTGCTTATAGAACTTATACTACTACGTTTACTACTCTGCCTCGATAAAAGCACGTGTTCATATGTCCCATCTTTTTGCATATCTTCTGAATCACATGGATGGATAGAAGATTTTACAATTACAAGCCTTCGTGGGCTTCTGTCAGAGGAATCCCCAGAAGAGAGTCTGACTGCATTCTGCTTAACAAGACATGGTTTTCCATCTGCTGTTGTCATGCTTCTTTTCTGGAGTGACCTCTTTTCAATGCTAGGATGTCTTGATGTTCCTGACCTTGGTGTTGTTGAAGCACTTTCCTGACTTTTTTGCGAAATAGAATCTTCTCTATTTAAGCTTCCATCCTTGCTGGACCTGCTAGCTGCATCAATTGATCCCATCAATGTTTTCACAGTCAGCCACTTAGCGGTTGTAGTGGTGCGGAAAGAGAAAACACGCTGATCCTTTGCAATCTTTGGTCTTGGAGAACCAGGTGCACTTGTAGACATGGTAGACCTGGGGGACTCGGTTTCACCTTGTAGGCCTTTGTCCATAGAAGACTTCTTTTCTACAGGTGGCAAATGGTCCCAAGGACAGATAAGTGCAATTGGAGATGGTGGCCTTTTTTCCTCATCATCCCCAGAGTTTGCATATGTGACATGCTTCTGGTTCTTGTCACTTGACTGTTCTGGCTCCACCTCCCAAGGGCAGATTTCAGCCTTGTCAAATGACTCAGATTTGAGAGCACTCCTGGTCTGGTCACTTATAGAAAGGCTTGGCCTCGACCTCACTGTGTTGGCTCTGTTAACCTTGGGTATATTCTCCATAGAATGGCTGGTAGTTGAGGTTAGGCTCCAAGATTTATGAAGTCTGTTGTGATCAGGATGCAAGAGATTGGTATCAATCGTCAGATTCTGGGCACTGGCTGACTTACAGACCCCTGGTGGTATATCCAAGGAGTCTGTCTCAGATCGCTGTGAGGATCTCTTCACAGTATTGGCCCTTAATGTGGAGGTGTGCAAAGAGTCTCGTTCCCTGACATAGTGATGATCACTTTGCGACTTACGCATGGATGGTGATGGTGATAGAGATGCTGACTTCATTGAACTTCTGTAACTGATACTGACCGTCTCTGTAGACCTTCTAAAAGAGTCAGAATGATTCCCACTTCTACTGCGGAAGGATCCATCTTTCTCCTCACGGCTGCACTGGCGGCTCATCGTTTCTGGGATTTCAGCTATGCGTTTTATAAGGGATCTCCCCAGTGCACATCGAGAGCTTCGTTTTTTAGGTAGATGAGGGTTGTTTGCAGCCATCTTCTTCGTCTTGTGGACTTCTAACTGGGCATATAATTTCTTCAGTTCATCCTGATGCATATGAAGAAAGGAGGGAATTGATGAGATAGAGGTTGAAATGATTGAGAAGAGGAAAAGACAAGGAGAGTCAGGATAGGTAAAGAGTTTTCAAGTATGAAGAACACAGTTCAGGTTAAAGCAAAGGATTGAAGGGTGGAGAAAGTTCATAGAAATTTGTTCAGTCTACAGTTAACTGTATTTACTGTTACTTTATGATTTCATTTATAACATATTTACCATTTGTTTATTGAATCTACATATAAACATAATTAAAATTAAGGGATAATTATTTTTTCTTTTTTAAATGTAGCCTTTGGAATTTCTTCCATATTATGTGCATTATGCCCTACTGCAAAGTGATAACATCGTTCTGTGGGGACAACAGTGTTTACCCGAAAGTCATCAGGGTCCACACTGTGCTCACTCCATGCAGAGTGAAAACTGCTGTTGAGGTAGGAGCCAGAGCGCCGCAGGTCAACTTCATCTTCATACACCTCTGCTGCAATCTCCTCTCTCCCAGGTTTGGATACATAAAGGAACTGTGGAACACATAGGAGAGAAGCACATGTAAGATAACTGGTTTTGACTCAACACAGTCCATAAGTAATAATTACACATACAGAAAGAAGTCTTGAACATTGTTTAACTAGAAGGACTGATTGGAAGGCTTTCCACTTCAGTTGAATTCTACTTCATTTATATAGCACCATATCATAACAACAGTCACCTCTATGTGTTTTATATTGTAAGGTAAAGAAGCTACAATAATAAAGAGGAAACCCCAACAATCAGACGAACTCCTATGAGTAAACACTTGGCAACAGCGGTGAGTTCCACCAACATTTTATGATATCTAAGTAAATGTAGCATGTTAGCTTAATACATATTAGCATTTAGCATACATTAGCATACTGGCTGGCTTTCAAGCAGAACTAGACCATGCTGAGTTAGCGGTTATCGTTAGCATTATATAACGAGGTCTTATATTTAACATAAAGTCGAGTTACATGCTTAAAGTAGTTAAAGATAAAGCTAACAAGTTTGAGAATACTGTGAGATATCATTTTGCCTCATAACTTTTGCACTGTCCACTTCCTGCTGTGACAAAACAAATTTCCCACGTGTGGGACTAATAAAGGTTATCTTATCTTATCTTAGATTTTTACAGCATGTCATCCAATCAGAAAATAAGTGGTTTGAGTCCCAGCTACTCTGAATGTTGAAATATCCATGGGCAAGATACAGAACACAGGGTTATCCCTGATGCATCCATGTGAGTGTGTATGTGACTGTTAGACAATATTTTAATGTGTGTGAATGAGGCTTGTAGTAAAAAAAATTTTTGCCAAGGGCAGTAGAAAAGTGCTAATCCATTTTCCATGACTTTTTTTCTATTCTTACTAGTGCTGTCAGCGTAAATCTCGTCAAAATGACGTTAACGCGGCAAATCTCCATTAGCGAGTTAACGCGGATCATGCACGGCGCTAATGTGTTAACCAGCTAACAGCGCTAACGCATTGACACAGTGCAGCCCCACGCACAGGGCGGTCTGCGTTAACGAGGTTATGGTGTAACGTCATTTCAATGAGATTAACGCTGACAGCACTAATTCTTACTGTATAATTAGTCTACTCTGGCACTATGGACATAAAAATGTGGAATACCTTGGGAACAAAGAGCAGGGCGAGTGTCACAGTGATGGTGACATGGGTGTGTGTGAAGGAGAGCAGAAGCATCCAATCAGGATGAAGAGATGGAAAGGTAAATCTGTGGGAAGCAGAAAATATAGAATCATCCCACGTCAACGTGTGTTGGCTTTCTATTTCGTATGGTACACAGACATATTGTTAAGCATGTGATGGGCTTTACTGCCTTTCTTTTCAGACACATTGACCTTAGTGGTCTTGGTTACTGTTTACCGGAACAGGTGGAACAGAGAGGAGAGAAGCAGCTCATTGTGGATGGCGATGCCCATGTAACGAGGTTCATGGAAAGCTGAGGGTACTGGCCTTACAGCAGTCCACAGTGAACTCCCCCAGCACAGGAACAGAAGCTCAGCTGTAGCAGAAGACTTTATAATCACTTGGATGTTCAAGAATACACAGTACAAATGTTGAAACTGGTTTTACTTCACTCTAACAGTAGTTTTGTGGTGCTTTATGTTGTGCGCTAAAGCTCTTAATACTGGTGACAACTTAAATACCTTTCTTGAATGCAATTCAAAGAAGTCTCATTTAAGCTTATTCAACAGTGAAATTATTTTTTAAGATATATTCTGGTTTCTTATAATTTAATGGCCAGCTATTTACTGATGTATACTTTTTTATTTTTACCTAGAACTTAAATTGTCAAGATAATCCCAGTGAATTTCTGACAACGTGATCCTGTGTGCCCCACTGGATTTTATTGTACCAACGCTGCCTTCTACTTTGTTGGCTAATTTATTGCTTTAAGGAATAAGTATAAAAATGGACTTGTAATGAACTATAATAATAAAGTTGTAAACTTGCCCATAGGTGTGAATGTGAGTTCGAATGCTTGTCTGTCACTATGTGTTGGCCCTGTGATAGACTGGTGACCTGTCCAGGGTGTACCCCGCCTCTCGCCCTATGACAGCTGGGTTAGGCTCTAGCCTGATTATGATGATGACACATCTAAAGTAGTATTTACTGAATTCTTAGACCTAAAATGAATCAGATTATCTTTATTATGTCCTTATGCATAAAGACTTAGAGGTGAAAGAGGTTTTACTTTCTTTTTATCATAACTGTACATAGATATAGACATAGGTACACTTTGAGATTTAATAGAATCACTGTAACAGCTACTGTATGTTTAATGATGCTGTTGATACTCTTAACAGGTTCTTTACATGTAGTTTACTTACCTACAGCCATCATGTAGTCCCAGCGGTCAAGGTAACACATGTTGAAGCCCTGTCCATCAGGTGTGTTGGTTGTGATGAAGACTGGAATGTTTCTGTCACGATTCTGCATAACACCCACCGTCCATGCACACAGGAACCAGCTGACTGTCATCAGCATCACTCCCAGAATTCTCAGTAAATGGAGGCTGGACATGTAGGGCATTCTCTGGGCTGTGCGTGACAGGAACACCTTCAGTACTCTGGTCCAAAACAAGAGCAGTATTGGCCCTTAATGTGGAGTATTTGGGTACTAAAGACAAACTGGTGCAACTTGTAGTAAACAGTAAAGTCAGTGACTGAGTGTTGAATTTGATGTCACTTCAATATGAAGTTTCTTGAGAGATGTCTTTGCCTGGAGAGACTTTTGATATCAGTGGAATTAGGTTCAAAGTAAGTAATGTAAGTTAGACAAAAATCCACAGAAGAATTTTTGCTCTCCACGATAATTGCAGATTTATACAAGCTGGGGAGATCTCTTGGAGCTATTTCTAAACAACTGCAGATTTCAAGATCATCAGTTCAAACAACTGTAGATAAGTACAAGTCATCCAGATGTGTCACCACTTTGCAAAGGTCTGGCAGAAGACCCGAAGGGTGACAGAAGAGATTGGTTAGGAAGTTTAGGAACAACCCAGAAATCACCGATTATCACAAATTATTCAGTGTTACCTTAAATAAACAGATGGTGAAAACTTGGACATAATTGGGTGTTCCAATTGGTTTTGGAATGGATTAAGAAAGTAAGCTAACACATGAACTTCCCAAAGCTCTTTAAGCATCAACCCTATTGAAAATTTAGGGACTATGCTTAAAACCGAGGTTTGTGACAGAACACCAACCAATTTAAATTAACTCTATCAATTTTGCCAAGAAGGGTGTTCAAATCTCCAGCCAAAGTTATTCCAGAAACTTGTTGATGGCTATCAAAAGATCCAGGATCAAGGTGCAACTTGAAACCTGCCAAGTGACGTTTAACCAAATATTAGTGTGAGTGTATGTATACATTTAGCTTATACGTAGACCTTTGTGGATTTGAGAAAATCCCCAATAAATCACTCAATGTTTATTTGAAAGGACAGAAATCAGAAACAAAGTCTTCCCATTTATGGTACACTCTGGGTGTACAAGTTAGCAAAGTTTAGCTGATAAGTATACGCATATAAATTCAAGAGGAACATGCTCTTTTCCCCCCATAAAATTACACAGTCTTAAAGGCAAGTGGTTTAACTTAGTTTTGAAATGAATCATTTTATAGTCTCTTTATAATATAGTTTTGTTTCCTAAAAAGCAAAACAAAACAGACATCTATTGTCCTCCCAGTACTCCAAAAACTCAATTAACTTATCAATTTTAAATAATAAATAAAAATACTATGTTATGTGGAAACCATCGTATACAAGTTGCTCTTTGACCACAAATAGTGTCTGTATCAAAACATATAAAATATATGACAAATATGATCAATTTCATATTATTTGATATGAGATTTATATTTGTAGATACTCACTGAACCCAAATGTTATTTAATTATAACTGAATGCAGTTGTGGATTTATAAATAGGCCTAATTTCCTTCCAGCTCACTCAGAAAAAGATCATACAAAATATCTTCCAGTAAAATAAACTAAATATTTTACAGTAAAGTTCATGTATTTTTCAAGAAATTGAGCATTTATTCAAAGCCATTAACCACTGTGCTTTGATGTTTAAGGAGAAGGTATTAAACAGAAGCACTTAATTTTAACTACATTAAATGTTAGTATCGACTACTCTCAGTGCTAACCTACCTGTACATCTTAAGTGTGACTGTGCCGTAGACAATGGAGAAACCAAGCATTCGCACCCAGCGGAGCAGGATGCACCTGAAGGTGCTTGGCCTGAAGTACATGATAAAGACCTGCAGAGACAAAGAAAGAAATGCTTAGTAAAAGAAAAACTACAGCTATACACAACCAACCAACAGTTTCTATTGGTGTATAGATAGTTGGCGCAACCAGTTATTAGGTTTAGGGGGCGATCACGTTTTCACCATGTAGGTTTTGGATTTCTTTCCCCTTAAAAATAAACGCCTTCATTTAGAAACTGCATTTTGTGTTTACTTGTCTTATTTTTGTCTAATATGCAATTTTGTTTGATAATCTAACAGATTTAAGTGTGACAAACTTATCAAAAAATAGAAGGAGGTAAACACACCACTGTATGTACATTACCAGTCAAAAGTTTGGACACACCTTCTCATTTAATGTTTTTTCTTTATTTTTTAAATACTTTCCACATTGACAAACTGAAGACATTGGACATATGAAGCAAGATATATGGAATTATGTAGCAAAGAAAAAATTGATAAATAACTCTAAATATCTCTTATATTTAAGATTCGTGAAAGTAGCCACCCTTTGCTTTGCTGACAGCGCTGCAAATCCTTGGCCTTCTCTCAGTGAGCTTCATGATGTCGTCACCTGAACAGGTTTTCACTTCACATGTGTGCCTTGTCAGGGTTCATTTGTGAAATTTCTTGCCTTCTTAAAGGAGTTGGGACCATCAGTTGTGTTGTGCAAAAGTCAGGTTGGTACACAGCTGACAGCCCTATTTGACAACTGTTAGAATTCATATTATGGAAAGAACCAGTCAGCTAATTAAAGCGAAACAACAGTCCACGATTACTTTAAGAACTGAAGGTCAGTCAGTCCACAAAATTGCCAAAACTTTGAGTTCCCCAAACATGCTTCCAGACTGTGTAAGGGCTATTTGACCAACACGGAGAGCTGCCCCAGATGGCCTGGCCTCCACAGTCACCTGACCTAAACCCATTTGAGATAGTTTGGGATGAGATGGACTTCAGAGTGAAAGCAAAAGGGCTAGCAAGTGCTCAGCATCTCTGGGAACTCCTTCAAGACTGTTGGGAAACCATTTCAGGTGCCGACCTCATGAAGCTCATTGATGGAATGCCAAGAGTGTGCAAAGCCGTAATCAAAGCAAAGGGTGGCTATTTTGATCTAATCCAATTTCAAACACGTTTTGAGTTGTTTCACACTTCACACTGTTTATTACATAATTCCATATGTGTTCATTCATAGTTTTGAAGTCTTCTATGATGTAAATAATCATGAAAATAAAGAAAAACCCTTCAATGACAATGTGTGTCCAAAGGTTTGACTGGTAGTGTATACATACACACACCACATCTGTTTTTACTGATGCCTCTGCTGTCCGTATAAGCGCACATCACGCCTGACTGTAATCACTTTGCTGTGATGGTAGCATGAGCAAAACAGTGTCAGCCACTCAGGATAAGAGCATAATCTATATCTTGTGATAATGTAAATGCAAACATACATCACTGTGTTCAAACTGCTTATACAGAATAAACTGTTTAGAGTGACAACTTATAGAACAAAAGTCATGGCAGGAAGGCCCGTTTAATCAGTATAAATGGCCAGCACACAAACACAGATTGGGGTCTCTGTTATAGATGGAGCTGCACAGCAGAAAGAAATAATGTGATTGGTCAACCCAAAGATATAGTGCAGTGAGTAAGCTGAGCAAAATAAAACAATCAATGACAGAATAAATGAATCAATCCAAGAATCCAGTAACTCCAGTGATTATTTATTGGGAACCTGTGTTCGCCAGTGCAGATTTGCATCATGGGGCTCAAAACCAAGCTCTCCTCTGATCTGACATTGTCTTTATTAACTATATACTCAAAAAATGACTTTAAAGCTGAGGCTAAAAATGAGAACACAGATATCCTGATGTCTTCTAGATGCCAGTGATATCCAATAATAAAGCTCAAATCC